TTGTTATAATTACAACTTTCCTATGTCTATTGAAACACTACATTAAAAACATCAAGCAACTAAGTAAAGAAAAACTTTTCAAGAAAGGAAGTAAATGTAGAAATGGCTTATATCAATCCTTCAAAAACAATGCAAACAAGAGAGAAGGGGTGGAATTTGCATCATCCCTACATAATAGCAGAGGCAAGAATCAACATATAGCAATATATATATATATTTCTTCAATCACAATTGAGTTTAATTTATCCTATTTTTGTCTGTTAACATTCTACTACACTGTGTGCCTGTACTATTGTGTCGGGATAATGCAAATATCACCCATACCATCTTGTTTGCACTGTTATTGAAGGATTGATATTAGTCATCCCTACATTTATTTCCTTTTTTTGAAAAGTTTTTTCTTGTATAACATAATGTATATAAACTATGGTAATACAAATAGAATATAATCTGGTCTATCTATCTGTTCTATAAATAATATCATCTTTAGTCCATATATTATATATGTGCATTAGTCGAAGAATAACATTCCATGATGATATTGCTTTTCTTCGCCAAAATAAGGTTAGTTAATCTTTGATGATAATCTGTTCGTGGAAATTAAAAAAAAGAATTTTGCTCGTATTTGAGATCAAGATTCACATTAAAAATATTGGATTGCATCATTTCTCTATGCGTGGTTTGGTTAGAGAAAGCGCATGGCCTAGTGATTTGTGTGTCAGTCTGAGGTTAGAAGGATCCAGGGTTCAAGATGTAATGCTCGTGAATACGCTCCACACTTTAGTCGTTTTGGCAGTAAGTTCTGCTGGCTGCCCTTCCGCTTATTCCTGCATTCTAGAGGTCTTTGACCTGGCCATTTAGCCCATGTGGGTATAAGGTACAGTTTAAGCTAAAAACTTGAATTCCGCTTTAATATTTAGATAGAACTGTTGACTAACCATAAGGAACTAATACATAATATGCTAATATTCAATTTTCACTGCGATTTCTTTTGGAAGGACTGAAATTTTGAATTAACTTTATCATTAACTGAAAGGTTTAATATGTTTATTTTTGAAAAGTTAGGGTTACGTGCTAAACGTTACGTTTTTTTTGTTGTTGTTATTTTACAAAGGAAATAATATTTACGTAATCTACTCTGCTGGTTCGTTTATGGATCTGATACACACACACACACACACAAAATAAACAAAGCTTTCAACGTTAATTCAACCGTATAGCTTTTCAGTTTGCACTGATGACAGATTTTTTTTTAAACAGTTGATGAAATAAATAGAATTTAGTAAAGATACTCACGATAGGTCATTATCAATTATCAAGCTCCTTTTCAAGTTAGCTAGATCCTTCCTCTTACCCATTGGTTTGCACAGTAACCATTATATAACTAAATCTATGCATTTATAGGGCTTAAGAAATCACATGATTATGCAGATCAACACAGTATTCTATCTATAAATGTATGGGATGGGTTGTAGTAAATTGACAGATTGTATATTGGTGAAATTTTGAAATACAACGACTCTTTTTTTTTGTAGGAATTTAAGCATTCACATGAAATTAATATTTCTGATATGGTTTATGTGTGCTCTACAACAGTTCAAGGTGCTAAACCAGTTCATTGTGATTAATTGTGTACAATTGTTATTAAACGTTGTGTGCTTGGCCCAAAAGGAGAATCCTTGAAACAATTAAATTAGAAAATTAGAGAAATGTCTTCATATGTGGCTTGTTCCATTCAGTAAATAACTGTATTTTATATTATAGAAACATTTGGCTGAACGTTCCAGAGAAAATGTTTTATGTAATCAATCTGTATTAAGGCTTAAAGGGATATAACCTTTCACTGTTGACAATTGTATAATAATTAAGGCGATGCTGCAAGAAAACACGTAGATAAAATTACAGAAATGTTTTACATAATCAGTCTGTATTACAGTGTGATATTTTACTAAGACTTAAAGGGATGTTATACTTTGAAATTGGTATAGTGATTATCACGTAGAGAAAATGTAAGACAAAAGGCTTGGTGATGGGTGAGAAAAGAAGGAAAACTGATGCCTGTGGCTTCGAAAAACACCTCTTTTTTTTGGGGGGGGGGGAATTGCTGTAGTATTATATTTCATTTTGGTTCTCAAGATCTCGTTTAATTTTCTTCTTTTTTAACGCAGCTTTGCAAATTTAGATCATAAATATGTTGTTGGGAAATATGAAGCTGTAACAAGAAGTTTGTTTGTTTTTAATTAAGCACAAAGCTACACAAGGGCTCTCTGTGCTATGCCCACCACGGGTATCGAAACCCGGTTTCTAACATTGTAAGTCCGCAGACATACCGCTGTGCCACTGGGGGGCATTTCACAAGAAGTTTATTTTTGAAAATTAAAATAAAGCTTTGATTGTTACCTGCCGATAAATGCGATTGATGAAACACAAAATGTTTAAATATGTTTCTTACCTACTGCAAGACTAAACTAACCAAAAAAGAAAAATAATACAAGCCGCTATGTTCTTGGTGAAGTGTTATTTATCGTATGAAAATAAAACTTTAGAGCCTCTAAGTAATTATGATTATTAAAAGTTTATACTTTTAAATAAAAAAATGATTTTTTTTAATACTGTGAATTTTTAGTTAGATAGTTGAAACATTTATGGCTACAGCTGTAAAAGACGAACATGAAATGTATATGGTTTATCTTATTTTAGTGGTGTACGTTTTTTTGTTATTTGTTTGTAGTTACGCACAAAACTATAAAATGAGCTATCTGTGCTGTACCCACCACGGGTACAGAAACCCGGTTTTTAGCGTAGAAGTCTAAGACTTGCTGCTGTGCCACTGGGGGGCAATGGCGTATGTGTCATACATTCACAGTTCAAAAATTTAAGTTATTACTTTGATTGGAAATATGAGTCTTAAAGACAATATTTTAAAAGTAGTTTGTGTTGTGTTTTCGTTGAGTATTTTATAATATGTATTTGTGTTTTTAGAGTGCTCTAAATAAAACAGTAACCATTAAAAAAAAGAAAGATCAAATTGTTGTGTTGTACGTGACAATATTTAACATGGAATTTTTATTTTATAGGCTTGTAGAGGGTGTCACGTTCAGCCATGCATTTGCGTTGGAGAAAAAGGAATTTCTGTAAGTAACACTGGAATTTTAAAATTAACACTTTACGTGAACAGACTGTATGGCTTATTTATTAGGTAAATTACTCAAACTAAAGTGTATTATATTTGTAAAACAATGTAATATTGCGAAATACTATTACTTTAGTTGAATAAATAGACTATTATACATAGTCAGAATGAAATTCACAGATTATGATCATGCATTTTACATTTCCGAAACATTTATTTAACAAAAATTGTATTGGAATGTTATCAACCTCTAAAAGAAACCACATTTCACAGTGTAATTAATGCTGAATAGACTAAATATTGATGAAGATATTTGTCACACATTCATCTTATCATCTCAGCACCCTTCCTTTGATTTTCGACCAGGTTTTATTATTTTTAAATGGCTATAGTTTGCATTAGTCTGTTAAACAAAATTTAACGTTAACTAATCTATAAATAACTAAAGCTACAGTCTAGTTGTTGACCAGGATATATTTTTAAAAGAGACGGTAAAATTTTAATATTGACAAGATTATTTTAGTAGCTCAGGACAGAAAACTAAATCATGAGACTTACTTTGTTTGCTGGCTAGGTTGATTAAATTGAGGCACACTGAATATATAAATGGTTAATATTTATTTTTGGTTGCTAGCCATGTTAACTTTGTTACAAATAAATTAAACTTATAAGCTGCTAAAGTTCAAATCTGGCAGATTTTATTTAAACTGATTAAATTTATTAAGAATATTATTATTATTTGAACTCAGAGTGATGGGCTAGTTAAATGCCATTTTCCTGTACTTGTTAATTTTCTCCAAGTTGACATCGAATGAAGATACTGGAGAGCGCATTTCAAACCAGTGTTTGTGCTACTAGCGTAAGGTAAGTATTTAGGATACAAAGCATCCCATCGCCACTCCCATCCTCGCCGATTTCATTGGAACAGCGAATATATTATACATTATATACTAACTGGAGTGGTTACTTTTTACTAATGTTACTAATGAACATTAAGTTAGACCACTCTTTGCAGTGTTAACAGCCTAAGCGTCATAAATAGACTCCAAAAAGATACTGTTGCGTCATCGAGGTCACGTGACTGGTGTGGCGCCACCTATTTTCTAGAACTATCCTGTACCTTGGCGAATGCTCTAGTATTTACTAGATATAGGGTAGTTGGTATATAAAAGAGGGTGACAACGTGACGGGACAATAATGTGTGTGTAGACAGTGTGTACTTGATCTGCAGTCAGAGAGAGAGACGTATTGTTGTTATAGCGTTTGTTTTAGCGCGATTGTTGAAATTAAGTGTATCATAAAGTTATATTCGGAAAGAATAAACCAGTTTTATTAACTAAGGACTTGTGTCGCTAAAGTTTAGTCGGAACGAAGTTACGGAAAGTTAATTATCGAACGGAGACGTAACAATACTAAAAGGTGTCTAAAGGAATGAGTCAGTTGAAACACAGCCTGACACAATCTTTACAAGTATATCTAAATAGTTCCCTTTGTAAGTCATCAGAACTTAACAGTTATAAACTGTCCTAATGGCAAACTTATCTACTTCTGATTGCCACTAATTGTTGACTTTGAAAATAAACGTCTGTGAGTTGAGCAGAAAAAAAAAGAAAGAAAGAATTTCGACAATTACGCTTTTAGTTAGAGGGGTTCTTGTTCTTACCCATTATCTTGTAAAGTACCCATGATATGATCACTTTTGGATTTATAAGGATTGAGCATTTACCTGCCGCATCACATAATTTGTCTATTCTGCATATGTAAACAAATGGGATGTTCTACAAATGCGCAGGTAGACTTTAATAAAGTAGCTAGTCAGTATATCATCCTATTCACTAGGAAAATGAACGAATAGACCATCAAGGCTCATATTTGCATTAAATAATATCATTATTCTTAGTGTTATAATCAATCAAAACCCATAGATTATATCAGTTTTCAATTTTTGAAAGGCAAAAGAAGTGTAACACTTGTGAATAATTTAGATATGACAGATATTTAGATATGACTCATGCCATTATGTGAATTTTCTTTGTAAGAATTGGTTTATAGCAAATTTTGCTTTTAAATCATCAGTAGTTTTCTTTGTCATGATCAATACCCAATCCAATTGTCTAAGCCTGCTCATTAATTAGTATTTTTTTATTCCAGTAATTTTTATTATTATTCATTTTTGATAAAACTAGATTGTTATTAATAATACATTTTTATCCCACATAACGGTGTGTTTGTTGAATTTCACGATAAGTTACTCAAGAGCTATATGCGTTAGCCGTTTCCAATTTTTAAAGTGATAGATTAGAGAGAAGACAGTTAGTTAACATCACCCATCCACAACTCATACGCTGCTCTTTATCAACCAACGAATGGTGAGATTGACAATCACGTAAAACACACCCACGAATAAATTGGCGAGCATGCTTAGCGACAGGTTTTGATTCCGCGACCTGCAGATTGTGAGTCGAGTGCCAGCCACCATACATTTCGGCTGTATTCTGCTGCATTCTTCAATAAGGTCCCAAAAGGGATTATTTCTGTATAATATAATGTTCTCCATTGTCTTTATGGCTGGCATTCAGCACACAATCAAGCAGAGGAACTGCCTGTTATAAAAGCTTTTAAGTAGCGCAGAGAAATAACTTTCATATAACTTTTCTCAGCACAAAACTCTCCAAAATATTGTGGATTCTGACTGAGGTCTCCCACCAAAGGAATCTATTGTTACTTATTACAATTTCAAATAGCCTAAAACTGAGTTAAACTTTAATTTAGATTTAGTAGTTAAACAAATGCCGAATGTGTATCCAATTTATGATATTTGCCAAGAAGATTGATATACAAAGTTTCTTTTTTTAACACCAATATGTTTTAATATATAAATAACAATACAATTTACAATAACATTGAATCAATAGAGTTGTTTAAACATTTGTTTAACAAGAAGTAAAAGCTTGGAATGGTCTATTCTTTCATTGGGATGTGTGTCTGTGAGCAAGACTAGTTTCGGAGAAGGGGAATTTTCCAAAACTAGTCTGGCTCACAGACACACATCCCAATGAAAGAATAGACCAT